CTACTCGGGGATTTTTGTGTCTCCATACAAATTTTAAGACTTTTTTGTTCTAGTTCTGTAAAAAAAAAAAAAAAAAAAAAAAAAGCATTTTTTAAAAACGCAGAAACTGGGCTTGCCCGGTGGCGCAGTGGTTGAGAATCCACCTGCCAGTGCAGGGGACACAGGTTTGATCCCTGGACCGGGAAGATCCCACATGCCGCCGAGCAACTAAGCCCATGCACCACAACTACTGAGCCTGTGCTCTAGAGCCCACAAGCCACAAATACTGAGCCCATGTGCCACAACCACTGAAGCCCGCACGCCTAGAGCCCGTGCTCCACAACAAGAGAAGCCACCGCAGTGAGAAGCCCATGCACGGCAACAAAGAGTAGCCCCCGATCCCTGCGACTAGAGGAAGCCCCGCATGCAGCAACGAAGACCCAACGCGGCCAAAAATAAATAATAAATAAGATAAATAATTTTATTTTTAAAAAATGCATAAACCTTTTCCTAAGAAAATCTGATATAGGAAAATTCAGTTTTCAACACAGATACATTCTTTTTTTTTTAAATTTATTTACTTTATTTAATTTTTGGCTGCATTGGGTCTTCATTGCTGAGTGCAGCTTTCTCTAGTTGAGGCGAGCAGGGGCCACTCTTTGTTGCGGTGTGCGGACTTCTCATTGCGGTGGCTTCTCCTGTTGTGGAGCACAGGCTCTAGTCGCGCGGACTTCAGTAGTTGTGGCTCGCGGTCTCTAGAGCACAGGCTCAGTAGTTGCGGCGCACGGGCTTAGTGACTGCTGCATGTGGGATCTTCCCGGACCAGGGCTTGCTTGAACCCGTGTCCCCTGCATTAGCAGGCGGATTCTTAACCACTGCACCACCAACGATGTCCCCAGATACATTCTTAAGGTGAACATTTCATTTAAAATTTTATTTACTTAGCGTCACTTTAAATAATCAGCTTTTCTAATATTATATAAAATGTTTGATTTATGAAATTGATGTAAAATATGTTTTAGGAATGTATAGTGCCATAAATTGTATCCTTTACAGATGATGACTGTGCTAAAATACTTAATCCACAGTAGTATTTAATATTTACTGTGTGCCAAACGCTTTACGTGCGTTCTCTTGTTTAATTGTCAGGACAGCCTTGTGAGGTGTTGGTACCACTTCTCTTCATTTTATGAATAAGAAGCTGAGCATCAGAAGTTGTAATTAACTTGTCCCAACAGCAGAGCTCGTCTGTGGCAGTGCCCAGACTAACCTGGCGCCACCTTCCTCCAGACCCGCAGTCTGGACCGCACCACTGTATGTGTGTGTCTATACACACATGCAAGCACGTACTTAAATCTGCTTGGTTGTGAACATGCTCGGTTGTGTCTTAGCATTTATGAACTTACGGAATTTCCTGACAGAGCTGGACCTTATCCTACTGCAGTGGTTTTTCAAACTAACTATGCAAAGTAGGTGGACAGTTCTTTTGGCTACAAGTAATGGCTCTGGTCCTACACCTAGGTGATCCTTGGGCCACAGGAGCAAGTTTTCCTGTAAGCCGGCTCCATCAGAGAAGTGAGCACAGAGCGGACAGGCCTGCCGGCCTCTGGGTGTGGCGTCCTGGGGGGGCTGATGTGCAGATGCAGACGCCCTCACTTTCACAGAGCTCCCCCGGTGGGTGGGTCCTGAAGCTTGTACTGTCAGCTCAGTAGACACGTGGTTTTCATGGGAAAACGTGTGTTTGAATTTTTCTAGCTGGTGCTAATGAATCTGACTTGTTTTGCTTTCTTTAGGGGCATCACCGAAGCTCGTTTTGTTTATGTCTTTGTCCTTGGCATTCTGTTCACGGGCACCAAAGGGTTGCTTAAATCTCAGATCACTGCTGATGACTTCACAGTCAAGACCGTGGGCCTCTGGGAAATATACAGCGGGTTAGTTCTGCTAGCGGCGCTGCTCCTCAGACCCCACAATCTTCCCGTCTTAGCCCTGAGCCTCGTCATCCAGACCATCATGACTCAGTTCATCTGGCGGCCCCTGAGGCACGACGCAGCTGAGGTCACCGTGATGCATTACTGGTTTGGTCAAGCGTTCTTCTATTTTCAGGTAGGTTTTCATCATTATCGTGGGTAGAAGACTCTTAACTCTTTATGTCATTTATCTTTTAGTTTTTCTTTGAGAAAATTTTACCGTAAGCTAGGAAGTTATACTGTATGTTTAGTGAAAGAACTGTCAGTATGGCATGGTGAATCATGCTTAAATTGCACATATAGCGTAAAGTACGTTTAGTTATTTAAGACAGACATCCTTGGTGGCGGTGTATAGTAGCTGTGCTGGATCTACTTTCAGCGGGCGGTTAGGGCAGCGCATCATGTTCCCGTGGCTTTATCAGATGTGGATGATGACTGCTCTCACCTGCTCCCCTGGCTGTCAGCATTGGGCATTTCTGGGGCTCACACTTGGTTATTAATCTCTTGGGCCCCGTGGTTGTCACGTCTTCTCTCCCGTGTTGAAGGGCCCGTAAAGGCAAGTCCAGCCGCCTCCAGGGTAGACCTCATGGTGCAGCTGTGTACTTGGGAAGCACCTGGACAGGTGAACAGAGCATCCAGCTCCTGGCCTTGGAGGGACCGAGTTCCACCCCAGCCTTCCTGCATCGCTGCCCTGGGTCAGGTGGCCCCGCCCTTGACCTGTACCGCACGCATCACCCCTGAGGGTGGAGCGCAATCGCCAGAGTCCCCATCTCACTCCGCACTCTCCGGCCAAGGAACTTTGCAAACCTACTGAACGTCTAAGTGTGTTTTCCCATCTGTACAGTGAGGATCTGTATTTCCTCCCTTCTCCTCTGTCTAGACCCTGGAGCTTGCCTGGTTCCCTGTGTCCTGGCAGCTTGGCCTGGGGCCTCTTCCTCGTCTCCTGGTTTCCGGCTGCTTCCAGCCTCACCACAGTTGCACGGCTTTTCCTTTTGTTCCCTGAAGCCCAGAAGTGGGTAGGGGTAAAGTACTAGAAATCTGTAAGTCCTGGAGGGATGTGACCTGACCCTCCCCCCGTCTGTGCCTCCCCAGTCCTCCAGCCCCACTTTGCTTCCATCTCCCTTTCACTCCAGCTGTAGCCTCGCCCCAAGGACCCCCACTTTCAGTGCCTACCATTGTCACCAGGACCCCGCAGCGACGCCACAGCTGGGGTCCTTGCGGATCCAGGGCGTGGACCACACCTCCCTGGCGTCTGAGCCGCCCGTCGCGGGAAGGCGCCCTCTCTGACAGCCAAGCACCGGACCGCGGATTCTGTTCCTTGTGTGTGCCTCATGCTGTTTTACCACCGAGGACACAGCTGTTCGTACCTCTCAGAAGGTGTCAGGCGTGACGGATGTGGGGAAATGCAGGGTGCCATCCGGGAGTGGGAAGACAGCGAAGGGACCGGCGTGGACGTGGGCCCCGAGCGGGGCGCGAGGAGAGCGGCCGAGGGCCTCTTCCGGGCGCGCCTGCGTTAGGCTGTCCGGCCGGCCGGTTGGCGTAGCTCACGTGTGGCCTCGGAAGCACTGTAGGTTTCGCTGCACATTTCAAGAAATGTCCAGATAGCCCACATCAGTCTGTTTCCTCTCTTCATCTGGACGTCACTCGCAGGCCTGTTCCTGGGGGTTGCCTCCCGTCTGGAGGTCAGTTAATGATCGGCACTCTGTCTCTGAGCACAAGTGGCTTGGTGGGGAATGGGAGCGCTGTCACATCAGAAGACCGCCTCGTCCCTCCGCCTTCTCCAGGCTCCCCAGGGCCCAGCTGAACCGTGGGCCTGTCTGATAAACGCAGGACACCCCTGCCCGGGGGTGCACAGCCCCACAGCTCTGCGTGGGAGCCCTCCCGGCAGCGCCCACACAGTCTGCAAGCTGCAGGTGCGTCCTGGGGGCACAGCAGACCCTGCTGGCCTGATCAGGCAGGTGCCTACAGTCTCCCTCTGAACCCAGACAGAGAAGGCGGCTACTGCTCAGGCAGCCTCGCTCAGCGCTGAGGCCTCAGTGTCAGGAAGACTGACCACAGGTGACGCCCGAGCGAGGAGGCAGACTCTGACGTTCGGTGTGCTCCTCTGGGGGCCATGTGGCCTCGTCCCACGGGGGTGAGCACGAAGCTTCCGTGATGGCGTGTGATGCTGGCACATCTCAGGCGCTACCCGTGGGCAGCCAGAGTGCACGAGTTCAACGGCCACGGGCGTCCCTGCAGCGGGCACCATCAAACGTGCTAGAGGTCCTCAGGAGCAGACCAGCGCAGGTCGGCCCTTGCACGGCGGGCCCCACAGCAGGCCAGACGAGCAGCAGTTGTGCGGCCTTGGGAGCAGAGCACCCCTGGGGCCGTCCTCATCTCCCCTCCCACAGCCCTTCCCTCAGGCGTCTCCCTTTTCTCACTGTCGGGTTTCCTGGCAGGAGAATCACAGGCTCTCCGCTCCTTCCGGCCTTCAGCTCACCAGCTCCTCGTGGTACGGGGTCAGGAGCGTGGTGCCCGGCTGGCATCCACAGCTCTCCACGGGCCCCTGGGTCTCTCCCTGCCTCGGTTCCCCACCTGCACGGTGTCAGGACTGTCGAGGATCTAGCGAGTTAATGCAAGGAAAGCCCCAGAGCATGCAGGCCGCACCTTAGGTCGACCCTCTCTGACGGCTGAATCGGCTTCAGCGGGACCTCCAGCGACCTGCCTGGTGTGGGACCCGCTTTTCCATCTTCGGCCCACCTCCCCTCAGCGTGGCGTTTGGGACTCTTGTTCTCCCTCCCCTGCTCCTCTCAGCAGCTCTAGGGTCTTCTCTTTCTCCAGGGAGGGGGTTGTGCAGTTGGGGGAAAGCCCAGGCGGACGTGGGCAGAGCAGGGGGTCAAGGGGGAAGCTGCATGAAGGAGGTTATTGACGAGGGAAGAGCGCGGCTCTGAGATGTTTGGGGTCTGCACCACGACCCAGCGACTGCCTGGAGTGCCACACGGCTGAGGGAGAAGGCGGTGGGCCTCACCCAGCCGGACTTGTGTCCCAGGCCGTCGGGTCAAGAGCTCCCGGGAGGGGCCTTCGCTGGGCTGGGACAGACATTTGTGCCGTCAGACCCGTAAACATCATGAGTGTCTCAGAAAAGGCCCCCAGCCTCAGTAAAGACTGAGAGTGGAGAGGGACCGAACCCTGTGAGACCCTCCCTGGGATTCAAAGCCCCGCCCTCCCTGCGCGGGGCAAGCTGTCCTGTTACTGGCCCAGATCTTGAACCTGACACCTGAGCCGCACGCCAGGCAGCCAGCTCGCCCTCCCTCCGCCCCTAATGGCGGCGTCCACCCTCGAGCGAGCCGTGTGGCAACACCGCCTTCAGCTCCCCCGTGCCACGTGCAGCCCTCAGACTGGGTCCCTGAGGAGGGAGGTCGGTGTGTCTGAAGTAAATAGATCTGGGGAAGTTTGGAATTTTCCATAGTTCATCATCAGACTTACATTTGTATAATTTCTCGAAGGTAAAAGACATTCCACTTGCTCTTCCTGCCTGGGCGTGAGGTGGGCAGGTGGAGGGACAGCATCTAGGGTCAGCCCCGGAACCAGGAGTGAACGGGCAGCTGGGGCGCCTGTGTGTCCAGGTCACCGTGACCGGCTCTCAACAGTTGCTAGTGGCCATGGTATGAGACCAGCCGGCTCAGCCTGTTTCTCCCCGTGTCCAGGGAAACTCCAACAGCATCGCCACCGTAGACATCTCAGCAGGCTTCGTGGGCCTGGACGCCTATGTGGAGATCCCAGCCATGCTCCTGACGACGTTTGCGACATACACGGGGCCTGTGCTGTGGGCCAGCCACCTGGTAAACTTCCTGACCTCAGAAGCCAGCAGGTGAGGCTCCTTCATCTTTAATCTGATGGCAGATTAACTCGTGTTCCAGAGACAGGGTGCCTGAACCCCAAGGGCTCAAAGGTCTCGATTTTCATCCGTTTCCTTGACCTTGAACAGTCCACAGTGCGTGGCAGGGCTGGTCTGTGTGGGGGCGGCTCAGACGCCCCTGCTGGCTTTTTCCAGCTCGTACCAAGGTGTGTCTCCAGAGGGACAAGAAGGAAGGTCTCTTTTCATTTTCTCTACTTGCCAGTGACCTGGTTGGAGCACAGGGCGGGGGGGATGGGGGGGATGGGGGGTTCCCTTTGGAACAAGAGCACAGGAGATGCTGCTTCTCACTTCCAGGATCCCTGCTGGAGGGAGACAGGGGCCCGGACAATCCTGAGGGGCTGGCAATGGGGGTGCGACTCTGTGTTGCCCTGTCCTGCCCCCATGGAGTCCAACGGTCACCAGCCCCGAAGGCTCCTTTCCCAGCGGACTGACGGGGCAGCCCACTGCTCTGTCCTGCCCAGCGCATCCCTCCGTCCACCCCTCCCCTGCCTGTTCACTCCCCAGCATTCCCCGCCCCTCACACTCAGTGCTTCCTTCCTCGTTTATACCCGCTCCGCTCAGAAAGGGGGCTTCGTGAGGAAGGGACCTCCAGCTTCTAGCCACACGGTGACCGCGGTGCCCGGGCCCACCTGGCAGAGTGCAGCCCAGGTGGTGTGTGGCTGCCTGATTCTGCGCTTCCCACGCGGGCCCTGGCTCCCCGGTCTGTAAAACGGGCAATGGTGTCGCCGCCATGGGTTGTAGGCCCATGTGAGGTGCCGTGGGGTGTGAGGCTCCCTTAGCACCTCTGAACTCCCAGCACGCTCCCCTCCACACCCCGGGAGGGTCAAGCGGGTCAGGGAGGCCCCAGGAGGACACTTTGCAGCTGAGGGGAGGGCGAGCTTCCTGCCCCCGCCCCCCTCGGGGCCCGCACCTCCCCGCCCGAGGAGGCCTCACTGTGGTGACGTCTGACCCCACAGTGAACCCACCCCCGCTTCCTCGGCCCCCTTCACGGGTTCTTCTCAGTCCCACGTGTCACCCCCAGACCAGCTCCTGAGACACAGGCCTCCGGGACCCTCTGCCTCTGCACCAAGCTCATGTCCACATTGGTGGACGGGGCGAAGGTGAGCGTCAGATTTTGGAGCAAGAAAGCAAGGGACGGTTCCCCCTGAGGAGGGTGGGCTTCTGCTCTGAGGCCGCGGCTCCCGGTGGGCTCCACCTGCTCTCCAAAGTGCCATGGCTGAGCCTTGGCTTCCCCAGCGAGAGGCTCTCTTTCCCCAGCCGCAGGCTTCCTGAGGACGAGGGGAGTGCCTGCGTGTGGCCTCTGGGGTGTCTTTGGGCAGACTCCCCTCTGATCAGCCGCTGCCTATCTGGTCTCCCGCGAGCCGAGCGCCTCTGGCGGGAGCGGACGGACGTGGGGTCACTGTGCAGGGGCCCAGGACACCCTTCCAGGCTTTCGTGCTGGACGTGAGCCCACGTCAGCACAGGATCGCCGCCGATCTGGGGGTTCTTTCATTAGCGGATTCCTAGGTGCCCCGGGGGGTGGGTTTGGTGGGGTCGAGAGGCCCAAACTGACCGACAGGTGTCTTTGCATGTCGGGGACCAAGGGGCCGTGAGCCGGTGAGGTGCGCTCACCGCTGCCCCAGAGGGCTGCCTGCCCTGGAGCATGGTTCTCTGCGTGTACCGCGCCTGCAGACCCCAGGTCTGCTGGGCAGGGGGACCCAGGTGGGTGAGGGCCAGACGGTGAGAGCCTGGGCGTCTGTGAAGAGCAGCTTCCTGGTGCTAAAATCACAACTTGATTTTCCTGGCACTTCTCATCTATTCCACTTGTACTGGGGAGAAAAAAAGACATGAAAGCATTCTTTTAAAGTGAGTTGAAAGCGTTTTCATCAGTTGGAGCATTGTATGGTGTTTGCCCCAGTTAAGGAATGTTTCTCCTTTATTTTAGAAAAGGTTTTTCTTCATTTTCACTCAAGTTTCATTCATTGTTTCTATTTTTTCTAGTAAAAAAAAACTATAACCAGATTAAAGTGGTAGAAAAAGAAGATATATTCCTAATGGCTTAAAATTTGGGCCCTGGGTGGCCTGTGCCCTTCTGCTTTGAGAGCTGGCCTCCGGTCTGGAGCTCGGCAGTGGGGACAGCCGAGCGGTCCAAGCTGCAGGTCCTTCGTTCATCCCCTAGGTCGCAAATTGTCATTTGTTGAGGTTACGGGAACTGTCACCCCACTGGCTGTCACTCTGGAAGGGACTCCAGTCAGTGTCTTCGGAGTGTGTGAAATCGAAACACAAGGAAGTGAGTGTCCTGAGCTCCCCTCCCTCACTGTCTGGTCAAGAGGGGAGTGGGGTCAGCAGGCTCCCAGCTGAGCACAGACACCCTGATGCCCCAGGAGGGGGCAGCAGAGCCCGCGCTGAGGCCCGTCATCCACTAGGCCTTTCCCTAGGGTGCCCTTTGCTGGGTGTTGGGGGAAAGGCCCTGGGGAGGGAGGAGGCAATGCTTCGGGGCCCAGCTCTCCAGGGATCCCCTGCCGGATGGACTGGATCCCAAGTGGGACCCAAGGCGTGGGCGTGAGGAGTCACTCCAGGAGCGCGTGGTCTGGTGGGGCAGCGGTGAAATGAGCCAGTCACAGCGCTGCTGTGAGGGGTCAGGACAGCATCCCAGAAGAGGGCCTGCAGGTGGGAGTCGAGGCTGCGTGATGCAAGGAGAAGGAAGCAGAGCGTGCTGCCTACTGAGGGTGACGGGCAACTGGAGAGCCCAGCAGGAAGGACGGGCACTGAAGCCCCAGTGGGGAGCCAGTTAGGGCCAGGTGAGGACATCTGCATGCGTGGTGGAGCCCCTGCGCCAGGAGGGGTTAGCAGCAGCGATGCATGTCGCGGATGCCTGCGGACAGGCCACCTGGAGACTCCGTGCAGGGTGTGAGGAGAGGCGCCAGGACCGGAATCTGGAAAGCCTGGCCCCCGAGGATCTGTGGGTTGACGAGGAGTGAAAGGTGCCTGGGTGGTGGAACTTGTCATCCCGAAATGGTCACAGTCCCCGGAAGGTGCCTTGAAGAACAGGCTAGGTTTATGTAATGTGTGGAGATGGCTTGGAAACAAAGGCAGTGCGTGCATGTGCCTTGAGGGGGACTGTTCTTATTTCAGGAGTGAGCCAACGTCCCCAGACCAGACCAGACAGACCAGACACCCCCCTGGACACCACACGTATCTCATCCTTGCGTGATTTTCTTTTCATTGTTTATATGTTATAACGTGTATAATTTTAAAATAAATAACTGTAGAATTTGGGGGTGCATTTTTCAAAACTATTTTGCAGATTGTGGTGGCCCTAAGTGACTGGAGGTGCCCGTCTGCAGCTGTCCTCTCCTCGGGCGCCACAGTGCCCACCAGACTAAGTCCCAGGAACAGGAATTACTGTAGTCAAAGTACAAATATCGATTATGTGTGTGTGTTCATGCCTCACATGATCCAGAAGTGGCGTGTACTAATGCACATTTCCCTTTTTATTAACAGCGGTTCGGCACTGAGTCATGCTTGCTTCTGCTACGCACTGATTTGTTCTATTCCAGTTTGTGCATATATCATTTTTGTGACATCCCTGCGTTATCATTTATTTATATGGAGTGTGTTTTCTCCAAAGCTTCTCTATGAGGGAATGCATCTACTCATCACAGCTGCTGTCTGTGTATTCTTCACAGCAATGGACCAAACCAACACAAAATCTTAGACTAAGTTATTAAAAAGAATATATTTTTTAAACTTTACTGTTTACTTCATGGATTTGCATAATGAAAGAAATCTGTTTAAATGCAAGATCATTCTTAAAAGAACAAGATGTGAATTCTGTAAGGTTGATAATAGTTTCCATTTCTTTGACTACTGTACTTGAATTTAGGTTAAATAGTAAGTGGTTTAAAAAGGTCATTTTGAAATACTTAGTTTGGATACAAATTGTATTCCCCTGTTGACAATCACTCCAGAAACTTCTGAACTTTTCATTTCCTCTGGATAAGTTACCCAAATATATCTGTTTAAACTGAAGAATAAAAAGTTTCCAGGTTTGTCACAGTGCACGGGTGCCTCGGAGGGCCTGGGGGCTCTGTGGGACGGGGCTCATCTGCTGCCGGGGTCCCCTCGCAGAACTCAGGAACTACCGGGGTCCCCAGCTGCTTGGGTTTATGTGGGCTATGTCTGTCAGCATTTATGGCATTTAAAATTAAAACTAAGGCATTCAAAAATATGTATTCATTTGAAAGTAAGGTTATAAACCCATTGTGTGTTAATATAACATTTTAAAGAAAAATATTTTTTCCAAAACAAAAGTATGGAGCGAGGAGAGTGGCATTGCCTTACATTTTTGTAAATCTAATGTCTGACTTAATTGAAGGTGGTTGGATTCTGCATCTGTCTGTTGTGGTCTGTGTGTGTGTGGTTGCAGCAGTCGCACAGATATGTCATTGGAAAAGGGAAGAGTACTTTAATATCCTTTTCTGATCATCATGGATGTTCTTTCTTGATAACTGCACTAAAATTGGACCTGTGATAGTTTCTTAAAGGTTAGTTGGAGAAAGAAGAAATGAGCGTGTGTAAAACAGGTGAAGACCTACTCAGGTCTCACCTGAGTGAACAGACTGGCACCCATGTCCGCTGCCAGGTTTGACAAGGACTGTGGCCATGTTAGGTACTCTTGTTGGGGAAAGCTGGGTGAATTGTACGTGGGACTCTCAGTAATATTTTTATAACTTGTGAGATTTAAACTTTTTCAAAATTAAAGTTATTTTTAAAAAGAACAGATCAGTTGCATTGTGGAATCTGAAACCATATCATTGAACTTTCATGCTCTGCTTCATTAAAATCCATTGATCTGTCTTGCTCCCTGAATGGATCTTTCACGTGAGGGATCGGTCCACTTCTGCCAGCACGTCCTAAGGGACCTGGTGCCCCTGTGCTGAGCTACGGCGGTGAGGTGCACCGTGACCACAGTCATAGCGGTTTGACCCACTGTTGCTCTTAATGTGCTTGGTGCCCATCACAGGCAGCTTGTAGATTTTATTCGAAAGAATGAACCTCTGATCGTTCTTGCTGAGGTACTAGGAATTAGAGCCTGATTTCAAGTATTTGAACAAGTATTTGCTTCCTGGGTGCCAGCACATCCTGGGCTCTGGGGAACCTTAGTGAACAAAGCAGGCAAAACTCTGCCCTCATGGAGCTGACATTCTAATGGAAGAAGGCAGATATAACTCAGATCCATTGTTCCCTGCTGAGAAGAAAATAATAAAGAAGGGAAGTGTGTAAAGAGTGGCCAAAATGCTGTCTGTAGAGGGGGGTGGTCCGCAATTAGCTATTCTGAAGAAGCAGCTTTGAGCAGAGCCTGAGCAAAGCGTGGACGAGCTACACCTAGGTCAGCACAGCCCCGCGGCAGGAAGGAGCTGAGGGAGATGTGCAAACAGGGAGGGAATGGAGCGGGCTGGCCAGCTGCTGCTGCAAGAGTGCCGCAAAGCCAGGACAAAGAGGGACAGACCAGAGTACTGGAGGGGCACGTGCCCCACGGGGAGCCGCTGAGGAAAGCAGGCAGTGCCCTGTCTGCAAGGCCCTTTGCCTATGACCTTCCCACCATCCTGGACTATTATTGCCAGAACTAACCACAGATGAAAAACAGGTGTAGAGGCTGAAAATTCTGTTTGGGGCCACAAAGCTAGTGAATGTGTGGACAGTTTGATCAGACACAACGAGGCTCTGCTGTGGTGAAGGACGTGGGATGAAGAGTTAAGTGCAAGAGAGCTGGTCCAGGGGTCAGTGGCCCTCTGGGCTTAGTGGCCAGTGGAGGGCAGAGCAACCACACAGCGGGTATGCAGAGGAGGAGCAACCTGGGGATGCAGGCAGTGTGTGAGAACGCTCAGGGTCACCCCCGACCTGGTGTGAGAGGAGAAGGCTCCAGACCTCACCTCCTGGCCCTGTGTCGGAAATGGCAGCATTCCCCCACCCCTGGTGCCCATCACACCCCCCTCAGTGGCATATGCCGCCCATCAATGCACCCCGTCACCTGGCCTCAGTCACAGGCGTCTCTCGCCTGGGTTCTGAATAGAGCAGGCCACGGTCATCTTTGAAAGTAAAAACCAAGCAACAGTGCCCCGGTCAAAACCCTTCTAGGGCTCATCTCATTCATTTAGAACAAAACCCAAGCTCCTGGTCCTGGCCTGTGCCTCCCTGCCCTCACCTCAGCAGATGCCCTAGTCTGCAGCCTGCACCAGCTCCTTCTGCACACAAGGCAGTGCCCAGTCGTGTGTGGTACTGTTTATGGAGCTGTGCTTTCCTGCACTGTTTTCTTGACCTTGAACCTTCTTATTTCTCCTTTTGCTGCCCTCTTCCCCCTCCTCCTTTACCTTCCTAGGGCCTGCCCCACCCCACCTTTTTAAGGAAAAATAATATTTTTTGTCATTTTTTAATGACACACCTATGATTGTGGATTTATGTGTTTCTTAGATCTGTTAGATTTTCTTCATATATTTTAAAACTTATTAGACACATATACACTGTTTTTGTTATATTTTCCTTATATATCTACTTTGTATCATCATGAAATATCCCTATTTATCTCCAGTAATACTCTTTGTCTTAAATTCTATTTTGTCTGATATTAATACTGCCACTCCAACTTTCTTATGATTACTGTTTGCATATATCTTTTTCCATCCTTTTAATTTCAGCCTACTGTGACGCTGTTTAAAGTGGCTCTTGTAAGCTCAAAATTTGATCCTGATTTTTTATCCAGTCTGACAATCTCTGCCTTGTAGTTGAAATATTTAGTCCATTTACATTCAATGTAATTATTGATACAATTGGATTTAGAGCTGCCATTTTTCTCTTTGTTTCATTTTTGATCATTGTTGTCATTCTTCTGTGTCTCCTTTCTTGTCTTCCTTGGGTTAATTTAATACTTTTCAGTGTTCCATTTTATCTTCACCATTGTCTTTATATTAAATTAACAGACTTTTAGAATAGTTTTTGCTGTATGGGAAAATTCAGTGGAAAGTACAGAGAGTTCTCATGTTACAGTCTCCTCTCTGCACACACACACACAGTTTGCTCTATTATTAACATTGTGCATTAGTGTGGTACACTTGTTACAATTGATGAGCCAATATTGATACATTATCATTAGCTAAAGTCCATAGTTGACATTAGTGTTCACTCTGTCTTATATATCTGCTGGTTCTGAGAAATGTATAATGACATATATCTACTGGTATATCATCATATAAAATAATTTCACTGCCCTAAAAATCCCTCATGCTCCACACCCTCCCTGGAGCCCCTGCTCTTTTTATTGTCTCCATGGCTGGAACCATACAGTCTGTAACTTTCCCAGGTTGGCCTTTTTCACTCAGTCACATGCATTTAAGTTTCCTCCGTGTCTCTTTGTGGCTTGATAGCTCATTTCCTTTTAGTGCTGAATAATATTCCACTGTTTGGATGGACCACAGTTTATCCATTCACCTACTGAAGGACTTCTTGGGTTCTTCCAAGTTTTGACAACTATGAATAAAGTTGTTATAAACATCTGTGACTGGCTAGTGTGCTCAGTGGGATTTCAGCCCCACTTGCCACACACCAAGACCTTGGGACACAGTGTAGAGCTGCATGCAGGGACCTGAGCAGAGCAGAGGGAGGTCCCTGGATATTAACTGTGCAGAGACCTCCCCAGAGCCCATGTCAGGAGGGATGAGAGCTCAAGAAAGAGGTCTGTAAGAAAAGAAATCCTGGATTACCTGGAACATTTGAACACATGAAGAGAATGTTTTTACTTCTGTCAAAAGTTGGGGATGGGGCTTCCCTGGTGGCACAGTGGTTACGAATCCACCTGCCAATGCAGGGGACACGGGTTCAAGCCCTGGTTTGGGAAGATCCCACATGCCACAGAGCAACTAAGCCCGTGAGCCACAACTACTGAGCCCGCGTGCCACAACTACTGAAGCCCGGGCACCTAGAGCCTGTGCTCCGCAACAAGAGAAGCCACTGCAATGAGAAGCCCGCACACCACAACGAAGAGTTAGCCCCCATTTGCCACAACCAGAGAAAGCCCACACACAGCAACAAAGACCCAACGCAGCCAAAAATAAAAATAAATTAATTAAATACATTTATTTTAAAAAAAATTAAAAGTTGGGGATGACATGGCCACAGCTTCATGGAAAACATCAGTCAGCTGTTAATTTCAACAAAAACAAGAAAGAGAATGTAATCGCAGAACCCCATTTACCTATGGACAATGTTTATGATCTTAATAAAGGAGAATACTGATTTGACCCCTAAAAATCCCAAAACTCTACTGGGGAGAGAAGGTTGTGTGTCAGGTGGGGGGTATAAAAAAACTAGTCCCAATGTTCAATAGTAAGAAATCAGCGGGGGAAGGGATAAATTGGGAGATTGGGAGTGACATATACACACTACTATGTATAAAATAGATAACTAATAAGAACCTACTGTATAGCACAGGGAATTCTACTCAATACTCTGTAATAACCTATAAAGGGAAAAAATCTTTAAAAAAGAGTGAATATATTTATATGTATAACTGATTCACTTTGTTGTACACCTGAAACTAACAACATTGTAAATCAACTATACTCCAATAAAAATTTTTAAAAAAAGAAATCAGTAATCGTCTAAAATGGAAATAACCAGCACAGTAATCATTTTTTCCGTACATATGGAGGCATATTATCA